TCAGCTATTAAGAAGCGTGAAGATTAGGAGAAGTAATCGCAACGAAATATGCATGTACAACCTGGCTGTCGATTTTAAACCTGGATTTATAAACAACAGAACCACCAGGACCAGTTATGACAGCTGCGTGCAGTGTGATTTGTTTTTTTTTTAGTTCGTCTGATTGATAACTTTTCTATTTTTGCAGTAATCACTCATTTTGCAATTAGGTGGACCCGTGTATGTTTCGTTGGTATGCAGCTGACATGCAAGGCTCGGAACGATTCTTTTTAACTCCGAAGTCATTCTTCTACGGTTTAGGATGGTTTCTGCTAGTTTGTTACTTGTTTTGCCGCTGGAACCATAATGATGCGGTATGTTTTTGGTTTATTTCTCAGAACAACATTTAGAAGTAACCTGAAGTTATCGTCGGGCATAAAAAGCGTTTTGACTATTTTTACTGTTTTATATTCTCTTTGAGCATCCGAGGCAGCAGCCTCAAGAATTTTTTTAGTAGTCGCGGTACCCTGTGAATCGGATAGCCGCATGATTTGAGTACTAAAGCGCAACGAAGCCAGATGCTCAGTATGATCGAACTCTCTCGTCCTTGGTCTTCTTCCTTACTGCCTTCCATGTGGTTTTCCTATGCAAATCTGTCATGCGAGTCTCTCCAATCTACCTTCTGGCATCGTGATTACATGTTCGGAACATTATAATTATGGTCTCGTTGGAGGCAAAGCCGTTTAGTTATATCTGGGATGGCGTTGTTCCGAAGCTTGTCGAATTTTGGAGCAGTCCTCTAAGAAACCTCATTTATGCTACGGGTATCCGGAATCACACTCTTTTTGTCGATTTTGATCAGTCAAAACTGTCACTCTTTTGGTCAAATTGCGTTTGATCATTCAGCACTCATGTCCATGGCTAAAATTAAATTTGCATACAGCCCTCGAATAGACGTATCCAAAAGAATAGCTTCCAACTACTCTGTTCAGCTCCTTCATCACCGCGCTAAGGCTGAGCTCGCTCATTACTGAGCTCGCCTGGCCGTATCGTGTTTGTTTCTGCCGCTGGCATGCCATACTTCGTGAATTCTTCCTCGTGATACTTAAACTTATTTGCCTGCTCCATTTGTTTCATTTCCTTGCAAAACACACTTAGTGGCTTGTTCCTTACGAAAGCCTCGGTTTTTGTTATGCTGATCTTCATTAATCTTCTTTACGTTAGAAGACTGTGGGCAAAGCGGATGTAAAGCGATCAACCTAGAACAGCAGATGACTCATCTGAGCATTCCAAATTGCTGTTTGCCGTTCTTTGAGTGCGTCTTATGGTCCAGTCCTTCAACGCAGTCGCATTATCACCTCATGGTGGCGACCATTAGGCACATCACGAGATGCGTAAACGAGAGAACTAGCTTTAACTTGTCTACCGATTATGAATGTTTCGGTGCTGACTACAGGCTGTCGTTTTTTCGTGTAACGGTATATGCTGGCAATGCGCAGCTGGTAATTGATGGGGCAGTGTATATGTGCCATGGCATCGTTCAACAAATTCTGTAATCGGACATCTTTCGTGTTTTGTCTGTTATGAGATGCGTCATGCTGACATATAGTTTACAGATGTGGTGTTTATGCTATAATTACTGACTTATTTTGCATCATACCATGGAGGAACTACGTTC